ATTGGAAGATTTTTTAAGAGACTTGAAACAATTAAAAAAAAACTCTTTCCTCTAGCTTAGTTTATTGTAAGAATACATATACATATAATTACATGTAATACATATACAAGCTATGTGGTAACAGACTGTTTACGTTTTCAGTCAACAGTAGGCTATTAGTAGTTAAGTTTTTGGGGAGTCAGTTATATGCAGTTTTTGACTGCATGGGCCAGGGAGGTCAGTGTTCCTAACCCCCATATTGGCCAAAGGTCACTTGTATCTGTGTCAGCAGCTGAATATGGGTTAAAAGTATATGGCAGGTGTTCCTTGTATTATTTTTACTCTTGTAGCTTTTCTGTAAATTTAAAATTATTTCCATATAAAAGTGTTTAAAGTGTATTTGTTTATAGAAGTAGTACATGCCCATGATCAATATTTGAAAGGATCCGGAATAAATTCCCACAACTATAGTAAAAAAGGACAACTCAATTAAAAAATGATCAAGACTTGAACAGACACCCCAAAGATATGAGAAAGGCCAATAAGCACATAAAAAAGTGCTCAATATCTTTAATCATCAGGTAAATGAAAATTAAAACCTCAACAAAATGCCACTGCATTCCCACTAGAATGGCTAATATTGGACTCAGCACCAAATGTTGGTGAGGATGTGGAGCATCTGGAACTCATACGGTGCTGTTGGGTGTGTAAATCGTAGTTGTTTTTTTTTTTTAATTAAGTTAAAACATTCATGCATCCTATTCTCAGCAACTCTGTTCCTAGATATTTACCAATAAAAAAGGAAAACATATCCGTAAAAATATGTATAAAAGAATGTTCATAGTAGTATTATTTATAATAGCCAAAATCTGGAAATAACCCAAAAGTTCCTTAACAGGAAACTAGATAAACAAATGGTTTATATGAATACTACTTTGTAATAACAAATAATGAGCTATTGATGCATGCAGGAACACAGATTAATCTTATAAACATTGGATTGAATGAAAGAAGTCAGACCCAGAGGGTACATATGTATGATTCCATTTACAGGAAGACCAAGAAGAGGCGAACTAATTTTTGGTGATAGAAAGAAACCAGAACAACTACTGTCTCATTGGAATGGGAGGGGAGGATAGAGTGGGGGTTGACCAGGAAGGGGCAAATGGGAACTTTAAGGGTGTTTTGGACATGTTCTCTGTCTTGGCAAACATTTGCCGAAACTCATTAGTTAGTATACTTAAGATCTGTGCATATCTTTTTGTGTAAATTATACCTCAATTTTTTTTAAAAAAAGGGAAAGGTCACAAGGGCGTTCTCCTGCATATGCACAGTGCAATCACCACATTCAGTTGAAGTTAACATTAATGCAGCCTTACCATCTAATATGCAGTCCTCATTCAAATATCCAATATTGTCTTTTATAGTGTTTCAGGTTTCAGTGAAGAATCACCTGTTTATTACCTGTTAAATATTTTTTTAAAAAGCTTCTTGATGGAAAATATCCTTGCAAAAAAATTTAAAATCTTGTATTCTAGGGCATATTTTCTGGTACCTGTAATTTTCAGTAGCCCATTTAATTTTCATCAAACTGCTTGAGTTAATGTTGAGCAAGTTAATGATATCAAACTTATAGCATCTTTATGGAAAGATTAACAGTCTTTAAAAATGCAGAATTAGAATTGCAAATCTTGCTTTCATTTTCTTAAAAGTTGTGTTCTCCTGTTTGCATTTTAGTGGAAATGTATGGTTTTAGAAACTTGGAGAAGTTTGAATTGCAAACAAGTGGTCAGTATTTCTGTTTGTTTAATTAGCAAGAATTATAATCAGCCCTAGGTTTCCCCTAGACTCTGGGACCTATACAGGAAGGAAATTGGACTTAGCTTTTGGCAAAGCATATAACATCCTAATTTTTCTTCTTAAATGTCATTTTCTTGATCACAATACACATGTTAATTGTAGAAAATACCCCAAATCCAATGGGAAGTATTCACAACTCTACCACCTAGAGGTGGTGATGGCTAATAACATAAAGTGAATATCTATACAGATACGTTCACACAATTTTTATTTTTTAAAACAGATGGTAGTATCATATAGTATGAGTTTCACTCCTTAATTCCCTTGCTGCTTCAACATTGCTCTTGCATTAAACATTCTTCAGCTTTTAAAAAAAATTATTGACTATACAATGTTATGAAGGTTTCACATGAGCAACATTATGTTCACTACATTCACCCGTATTATCAAGTCCCTCCCCACAGCCCATTGCAGTCACTGTCCAGCAGCGTAGTAAGATGTCAAGTGGCTGTCTATGGTAGTGTTCCTTGATGGAAAAACAATATTTTTTGTTTTTGAGCTTTTTTATTGTAGAAATGTTAAGACAGTAAATTGCATAGAACACAGATGTTCAGCTTCATGAATTATTATAAACACCCTTGTAACTGCCACTCAGATCAAGACATTAAACATGTCCAGCAGCCAGGAGCCCCCATGTCACTAAAGGTAACTACTATCTTGACTTTTTAAGTTACTTTCTTGCTTCTCTTTGGTGTTTCACACCTGCGTTTGCACACCCAACTCTAGTTCAGTTTTGTGTATTTTTGAACCTTCAAAAAATTGAATAATTACAGTATACTTTTTTTGCATCTGGCTTCTTTTAATTTTTTGTTTTTCAGATTTATCCATATTGTTGTGAGTGCCTCATTTTTCATTCTTGTATGATGTCCATGTATTAACTACCATGTATTGACTCTACCAGTGATGGGCACTTTGGTTGTTTATAGCCCACGTTACAAATGACGCTGCCGTTAGATCTCTGGCTGTGCTTCCCAATGATATGTGTGTGTGTTTCTCTAAGGACTCCTCACCGAGGACTGACATTGCTGGTCATAGGCTATCTGTACATTGAGCTGTCCCAGATAATGCCAAACTAGATTCTGTATGTTGGGGTCTGTTTTCAGTGTAGCTGTTCCACAGCCTCATTAGCACTACTTGGTATTGTTAGATTTTAATTTTATCCCTCCTTAGGGATGTGGTGATACCTCATTGTGGTTTTAGTTTGCATTATTTTGTGTCTTCTCTATTGCTGGGGAGATTATGCTATCATATGAATGCTGGGCGTTTGGATGTCTTCTTTGGTACAGTGCCTAATTCACATCTTTTATCTGGTTTTCTTTTGGATTGCCTTTTTTTTACTGATTCCTGTAGTCTAGATACAAGTTCTTAATTGGTTATATGAGTTTGTAACTATCTCCTCCAACTCTGTATGTAGCTTGCCTTTTTTATTCCATTAATAGTGTCTTTTGCTGAGTAGAGGATCTTAAGTTTAATATAGTTCAATTGATTCATTTTCTCCTTTTTAAGGATTAATGGTTTTCATGTCCCATGTAAGTCCTAGAAATAGAAGTGTTGGGTTAAAAGGGCAATACATTTTTTTAAAGATTTTGCTTATTAGTTTATTTTTCTACTGGCAGTATATGAACCGTTTAATGCCATTTTCATTCTCATCAACAGTGTATACATGATTTTCCCACATTCTTACCAGAACTGGAATTTTGGGGTCTGTTTTGCCAGTGTATAGACTTTCTTCATTCATTAATGAGTATTTTATCTTAGTTTGCCTGTGAGATCAGAGGACAAATTTATTGCATCAATCCCAGAACATGATGGTCAGTAAGCATAATTCCAAGATTAATACTGAAAGTATCCTTTAGCTTTTGGTTCTGACAAGCATTTATAGCTGATAGGGAAAAGAGATAAAGATCTAAAAAGCTGTTTTCCTTTATATTAATTTAAGTCAGCATGATTTTGGTTTAAATTAATGAAAATAAATTGGTGAAGACAATATAGTGGATCAAGGGACCCATGAAATTGATGAGTTTAGGTTTTGTGGATTTCCCTTGTGAATTTCTGGTATATTTGTAAGAGGTGAATCATGGTTTTATCTACTCTTCTTCACACACTTTTTTTTTATTCACAGAAGACATGCCTATCCCTCTGTGCTCCTCCTCTTTCCAGCTAGTATTTATTCATACTCTTTCATAGTTTCGAGGTGTGAGGTAGCTCCTAAATTTTCCTTGGGAATGGAGAGAGTTTAATTGTGAGGCTGCAGCAGAGCCTGTTGGGAGACAGGTTTGTTAGGAGATGACACTTGCTGTGGAGCATTCTACACTGCCTTGTTTCCACTCTCTGACTCCAGTTTAGATCTTAATCATTTTCACTGGACTTCTGGCAGAGTCTGATTCTTCTTTCTGCCTCCAGACTTCTTATTGTTGCCAGAATAAAATTGTTAAAACTCATCATCCAAAACAATCAAAATCTGAATCCCTCACACAAGGTCTTATCACCTGCCCTCTTGCTCTCTCTCTCTCTAGCCACCTCCTGTAGCCAGTTCCCTACACACCTGCTGAAATCCAGTTTTCTTGAGTTTGGAATATTCTTTCACATTTGCTCATCCCATTATCTAGAACTTTCTCCTGTCTCCCACAGCCAACCCATCTGGCTGCTAGCTATCTTCTTTATGACTCAGCTCAGGCAGCATCTCCTTGGAAGCCTTACCTGCAGGATCCTTGTTTACTTTCTGTATCTCCCTGTCCTCTTTTCCTCCAACTCAGTGAGTTAGATGCCCCTCTTCAGGGCTTCCACAGCTCATTCCTTATGCTTCTGTCACCAGGCTTTGTATTGTGATAGATTCCATTTTCTTCCCTTACTCATCTGAGCTCCATGAGGTCAGGGCCCTGATTACCCCTTCTTACAATCCATCCTCCCTCCAGGAACCAGCAGGGTGTAGCTTATTGGAGACACCCACAAATGTTCAATGATTGATGGAATGCAAAGTTATATCTAACTTTCTTTATATATGTATGAAAAGAACTTACTGAGAAAGTGGTAAGAAAGGGATAGGAACTTAGCAATATTCTAAATCCCTCCTCTCCAAAAGCAGTGCACATTTGGGAATGACTGCCGTTTGGTAGGATTTCTAGGGTTTTGCTCACCTGAGTTGTTCCTTGCTGTCACAGAAGGATGCTCTGCAGTGGTCTCGCAGTCCGACTGCAGTGGAGGGTGAGGAGCCAGAGGACACAGCTGATGTGGAGAGCTGTGGATCTAATGAAGCCAGCACTGTGAGTGGTGAAAATGATGGTAAGTACCCTCGGCAAGGTGGGCCAAGAGCCTCAAGCAGTTGCTAGGCCCTAACCTTTATTTCCCTCTCCAGTTTCTCTTGATGAGACATCTTCAAATGCATCCTGTTCTACAGAATCTCAGAGTCAGCCTCTTTCCACTTCCAGGGACAGCTACCGAGCTTCCTCGCAGGTAGGGAGGAGGGTTGATGAATAGGCAGGGTGGGGTGTGGAGGTGTGAGGTGGAGCATGAGACAGGGCTCTTCCCCTGTACGTAACCCCTGTGAGCGTGTTTGAAGAGTGGAGAGAATTGGTTTGGTCTCCACCTATCAATGCCAGTTAAAACTGGGCCATAGGAAAAGTAGGTAGTGGGTCTGAGAGCAGAGTGATTTGTTTTCCTTTTTACCATGGATGGATATCTTTCTTCACAGGTAATGTTTGTTCTTACGCTAAACACAGGACTATCCAGGGAAAAGTATAGCATGGTGCAGAGTGGGGAGAACACGAGGTGAAGGAGTCAGCCGCTCACCTTGGGCAGGTTCCTTGTCTGCACATGGGGATGATGACCGCACTGTTTTTCTGGCCGGGCTCCGTCTCTTTAGTCAGTGCTCCTGTTGGCCGGGAGCTGGTTGAACATGAATTCTCGTTTACAAGGCAGTGAGTGGAGACCTGGGCAAGAGGGACCACTGTTCTGGCCCTGTGGGTGACTCCAGCTATTTGTCTGTTCCTTTTGGAAATACAGGCCAACAAGCAAAAGAAAAAGACTGCGGTGATGCTTCCACGAGTTGTCCTGACTCCTCTGAAGGTAAACGGGGCCCACGTGGAATCTGCCTCAGGTACGTGTGAACTCATGATTGCGATGCTCCTTCTTCAGGTCTGGGACCTGCCTCCCTCTGGCAGCAGGTTCTGGCCTGGGTGGTATGATGCCAGTAGAGTCAGGAGACAGGACCTGCCTCCCTCTGGCTGCGGCAGCTGTGGTGGTGAGACCTGCCTAGGTTCCAGCGCCAGGCCCTACCGTGCTCCCTCCCTTGGCCTCCCAGGGTGGTCATGAGGGGCCTATGAGCAGGTGCGCAGGTGCTGTGTAAAAGGGGCAGTGCTGTACAAGCTAAGGTGGCGGCTTGGCATTCTTACATGACATTTTAAAGCCAGACCGTGAGGTGGTGGTCTCTGTAGCCCAAGGCTGGGCCGTGGAAGTGCCAGGTACTGCTGGCAGCATCTCAGGGAGAGCTGGGAGGAGTAAGCTTGTCCGCGGGCCATGAGCACAACCTGTGATACTTTTGACCAGTGGACTGCTGTGCCTGCAGGGTTTTCAGGCCGCCATGCCGATGGTGAGAGCGGCAGCCCATCAGGCAGCAGCAGTGGCTCCCTGGCCCTGGGCAGTGCTGCTCTCCGGGGCCAGGCCGAGGTCGCTCGGGACCCTGCCCCACTCCTGAGAGGTTTCCGGAAGCCGGCCACAGGTGAGTGGCTTGGCACTTGTTTCTCTGCCTGTGAAGGTGATGTCTTTTGCTCTCCTTCCTTAAGTAGTTTATTTTTACTTCTTAGGGCCCTTGTTTGTTTTTACCTGGCATTTTGGTTATTTCACATGTAGATCTTCTCTGCTAGAACTGTCAGGAAACTCCCTGTGGGCAGAGAGGGTGCCACATTGCTTATCTGTCCCTATGAGGGCCTAACCTGGGCCTACCTGGGTACTGCTTAGTAAGTGCTTGAGTGAGAACACTGCCTCTGAGCTTCTCAGTGAAGAGTTCCAGCATCTGTTTTCTTTCGGTATCATTCTGCCATGTCTGTTTTCAGCGCCCCACATCTCTGTCACATGCCTTATTTTATAGCCTAGTCATTATGGTGAGTGGAAGCCTGTGTTGAACTTGGGGGATGCAAACAAATTTAGTAATTTGCAACCCCCACCTCCCAGTAGGGCTATTTGCAAGGCCAGTATGCAGTTTGCTGTTTTAAGGATTTGTTTCTCAAAGCCCACATGCTGGTTATTTGTAGATGGGCCTCATGAAACCATTAATAAGACTAGCCTTGGCTTCTGAACATCAGAAGAAACCATTGCCAAGTGGGAACTAGGCTTGCTTGCCCTCTTGCTGCTTATACCACTAACTCATTGGTGGTGCTCAATTTTAAGGTCTTACTGGTCTCTATTAATAGTGATTTTTTCACATAAAAGTAGTATTTGTTGAGGCTTCTGGAAGAGGCGTTGACACTGCAGTGGGCTTTAAACAGTCCTTAGTACCTGTCTGCGTGGACAGCCTACCTTTCTAGCCCGCTCACAGAAGGCTTCTACAGCTGTGTCTGTAGTACACTAACTGGATTAACTTTTAGACGACTTCTGTCATTTCTCCAGTTGGCTTTGTGGAGCCTGTTCTCCAGCTTCAGAGGGAAGCTCAGAGCCTGCCCTCGGCCTGGTTTTCTGTAGGAAGAGTGTCCTCTTCAGGCTGCGACACAGCATGGTACCGAGTCTTGTCTGAGAGGCTGCAAGCTCAGGTGTTCCCTTAGGTGTGATGGCAGTGACAGTAACTTGGAAGGAGTGATCATGGCGTATAGCATAGGTCAGGACAGACGGGACTATTGAGTGGGTCGAGTCGTGGCACAGAATTTCTGGGTAGTGTGGGTGTTGCCACCAGAGTCTGTCCTCTGTTGGCATTTGCTTCTTGTGCTTGAAGAAGCTGAAAACCTGTACCTTGCTTCTTACTGCTTCAAAAACCACAGGTCAAATGAAGCGCAACAGAGGGGAAGAGATAGATTTTGAGACACCTGGGTCCATTCTTGTCAACACCAACCTCCGGGCCCTGATAAACTCGCGGACCTTCCATGCCCTGCCGCCCCACTTCCAGCAGCAGCTCCTGCTCCTCCTGCCTGAGGTGGACAGACAGGTGCAAAGGGGTGGCTACCTTTTGCTTCTCTCAGAGGGGGGCTTCTGTTCTCTAAGTTTCTTTACTGGGCTTTTTGCCTTGATCCTTATAGGTGGGGACAGATGGCCTGTTACGTCTCAGCAGCAGTGCCCTGAATAACGAGTTTTTTACTCATGCGGCTCAGAGCTGGCGGGAACGCCTGGCTGACGGTGAGTAGCTGTTTCCATCTCAGATGGCTTGAGAAGTGCCTGCCATTGTGTGGTGTCACTTGTCTCTTGATATTTAAAACCCAAACACTCATTCTTCTCCATCTTTCTTTTTTTTCCCAAGAGATATTTAGTACAAGGCTGGCTTCCCTTACAATACCACTGGATGTGGTGGGTGTTAATGGGCTCCATAGTTCTAGAGGAGGTAGAGTATTTGGGCTTCTCACTGTGTTGTGTGGATATGTCCACCTGCATCACCTCTTCATCATTGAAACTATAAACTCCTGTTCTTTCCAGGAATCATAGCATTGTCTGGACGGGTGGAGGAAAGGGCATGCAGCGCTGACTCGGTGTGAGCTCCATCACGTGCCCTGTCTTCTTAGACATGCCACTTGGAGTGATTATTAGCCCCTTTGAACTTTGTGGGGAAGCTACATGGGGAGTGTGGTGTTGGGAGGTCCCCAAGACCCCTTCAGGTTTGATGATTCACTAGGGGACTCACATGACAAAGCATATAGTCATGCTCATAGCTCTGATTTATTGCAGTGAAGGAATACACAGTAAAGGGAAAAGACGCCTGGGGTGAAGTCCAGGGAAACCAGGTGCAAGCTTCCAAGGTCCCCTCCCAGTGGAGTTGCACAGGATGTGCTCCATTCTTCCAGCAATGAGTTGGTGAAATGTAGTCTACTAGGGAAGCTCGTTAAAGACTGGTGCCCAGGTCTTTACTGGGAGCTGATCATGTAGGAAACCTCTGCCTGGCATGCACCCAAATTCTAGATTCCCCAAGGGAAAGCAGGTGCTTGCCATAAACAGTCTTGTTTGCATAAACAATTTAGGCCCAGTGAGCCATTCATGTCAGTCAGTGTGGGTGGGAACCCTTCTGAAATCCACATTCCCAGATATCAGCCAAGGGCCAATCTTGGAAACAGGCCTTCCTAAGCATAAGCTACCGGGCCTGCTATATTAACTCACTTCTGTACAGGGAGTAAGAATGTTTCTTTTGTTTGTTCGTTTCTTGTTTTGCCTTTTTGATCAATATGGTGCTCACTGTTCAATGACTGATTTTCCTAGGGAAGAATAAATTTCCCTTATAACAGACACATGAGTTCTGTCCTGGGTCTTTATAAGAGCATGCTGTGAGAGCCTCTGGAGAGGATGGGAAGGAGCATGAAGAAGAGAGTGGGGTTAAAGACAGATGGGCAACGTCGCCAAAGTCACGTGTGTCTTGAAAACTCCTGATGTGGTAGAATTGCGGTATTTGATTTTCTGCAAGATAGACATTAATACCCTGAATACACACACTTGAAAAGCTTTATTTCTTTCTAGGTGAATTCACTCATGAAATGCAAGTCAGGATACGACAGGAAATGGAGAAGGAAAAGAAGGTGGAACAATGGAAAGAAAAGTTCTTTGAGGACTACTATGGACAGAAGTAAGATAGTTGGTGCTCTGAGTCTTGGTGTGGGTTTTGAAAGGGTGTAGAGGCAGATATTCTCCAAGTCATGCATCCTCCTGTGCTGGACAAGAATGTGGAGACTGCAGGGACTCCACTCATCTAGCTTAGTGCCATTCGTAGGGAAGCTGACATATTTTCCCTTTGTTAGTGTTATGTACCATGTATAACAGCAAGATTTATTTTGTTCTGAGATACCTAATACCTGTGTATTATTCATAGAAATAAAATAGACATGCCCTCTGTGCCCTCTAACTGATGATGTGAGTTTGGTTTGCAGATTGGGTTTAACGAAAGAAGAGTCATTACATCAGAACATAGGCCAGGAGGAGGCTGAAATCAAGAGTGACTTGCGTGTCCCAGAAGAACCAGCACGGCCACAGCGGGGTCCAGCCACCCGGCAGCGAGATGGGCATTTTAAGAAGCGCTCTCGGCCAGATCTCCGAACCAGAGCCAGAAGGAACCTATACAAAAAACAGGAGCCAGAACAAACAGGGATTGCTAAAGACACACAGCCTGTGGCAGCAGAGAGTCTCCCCATCCTTGCTGGGGAGGCTCAGTCCAACTTGGCAGAAGTGGGCAGTCCCCGCCGGCCCAGCATATCCTCTGCGGTGCCCGGTCCAGAGAGTCCTGAATTTCTGGCTGAACCTGGCACTGCCCGGATCCAGACAGATCCAGGTGACCTGCCACGGGCCTCTGCATCTCCAGACAGAATTCCCAGCTTGCCTCAGGAGACTGTGGATCAGGAACCCAAGGATCAGAAGAGGAAATCCTTTGAGCAGGCGGCCTCTGCATCCTTTCCCGAAAAGAAGCCCCGGCTTGAAGATCGTCAGTCCTTTCGTAACACAATTGAAAGTGTTCACACCGAAAAGCCACAGCCCACCAAAGAGGAGCCCAAAGTCCCGCCCATCCGGGTAGGAGGCTGTTTGAGTCCTGCCTGGGGCTAGCTTCCCTTGGAGGGTCAGGAGCTTTGCAGACAGAAGGCTCTGGGCCCTTGTGTTAATTATGTGGGAGTGTAGAGCCCTCTACAAGAGAGCCGTTCTTGAGATTCACTTGATGACCAGGGCAATAAGGTTCTTCCTTCCTTGTTTGTTCACGCTGTTGAAGTTATCTCTAGAGGTCAGAATCCTTTGGAGTGTTTAAGTCTTTCATCGGGTGGTGCTAGATACTTTGTGTAATGATTCACACAGCCCCACCAGCAATTAAATTTAGAAGTGTGGCATGTAACAGCCCTTGAGCAGAACCTTCTCAGAATGGTGTCGTGTCATGGACAGCCATTTTACCATGATAATTTCATTTTTAAGGAAAATTATTTGGTTTTCTAGGCCATGACCCCTGAGCTAGAATCCCAGTTAAGTTTTACAGTTCCTAGGTCAAATCACCCTGTCAATTAAAACTGTTTTCCAATTCTCTTGCAGATTCAACTTTCACGTATCAAACCACCCTGGGTGGTTAAAGGTCAGCCCGCTTACCAGATATGCCCCCGCATCGTCCCCATCACGGAGTCCTCCTGCCGGGGCTGGGCTGGTGCCAGGACCCTCGCAGACATTAAAGCCCGTGCTCTGCAGGTCCGAGGGGCGAGAGGCCACCACTGCCATCGAGAGGCGGCCACCACTGCCATCGGAGGGGGGGGTGGCCCGGGTGGAGGTGGCGGCGGGGCCACCGATGAGGGAGGTGGCAGAGGCGGCGGCAGTGGTGATGGTGGTGAGGCCTGTGGCCACCCTGAGCCCAGGGGAGCCCCGAGTTCCCCTGGAGAGTGTGCGTCAGATCTACAGCGAACACAACTACTGCCGCCTCGTCTTCTAGACAGGGAGGGTGCCCAGGCTGAAGCTGCCATATCCAGAGCCAGTGGAGAGGACCTGGATCCATTCAGAAAAGAGGAGAGCTGCCCACTACAGAGGGATCCAGATATCCTCACAAGCGAGCTGACTGGTGCCTCCCAGCTACCCATTGCTCCCACTGGGGACCAGCCATGCCAGGCTTTGCCCCCACTGTCCTCCAAAACCCCAGCACCTGAGAGATTAGTTGGGCAGCCTGCATTGCATCTAGATGTTAGAACTGACTATGGGGCCGGTACTACTTGGGAAAGGGATAATGGGGAACGAGGACCCACTGTTCCCACAGAGAATGGTCCCATTCAGTCTCCAGTGGGGGATGTTGTGTTAGCAGAAGGGACTGGCCAGACTCTGGGTGGCGACAGTAAGCCCATCCTGAAGGATCCTGTGACTGTGACCCCCGGTTCCAGCCCTGACTCTTCATTGGCCAGTGGCCTGCAGGACAGACAGTGCGATGATGGATTCGGACTTGGTGACTCACACCCGCCCGTGAGGGAAAGTGCTACTAGACAAGAAACCATGACAGCCGAGACTCTCCTTGCCAATGGTGCTGCTCCTTGGGTGCCCGTCCTGTCAGATGACGGGGCAGCAGGACAGCCTGAGCCAAATGCCAGAGGAAGTGTTCCCCCTGCTGAGCTCCAGGTGGGAGAGGAGTGGGAGAAAGCTGCTCCCCTCGTTCCTGCACTGCCCGAGGGCCTGGCTGCTGAGGACAATCCAGAGCCTCCCAGCAACATCCCTTCGTTCTGGACTGTGCCACCCCAGGGGTGTGGTGACAGTGCTGGCAGTGACTTCAGACAGGTGGCAGTTGAAAAACTGAAAGTCAGTGGAGACTCGGAAGCACTGAGTCCTCACAGCGAGTCCACAGACACAGCCTCTGACTTTGAAGGCTACCTTTCTGAGGGCAGCAGTGAGGCTGACCCTAGGGAAGCCACGGTGGTGAAACGGCCCTTGGTGACAGACAAGGATAAGAAACAGGATTGGAGCCACTCTGCCTCACTCTCTAAGGTGAACGGTGACCTGAGTCTGGTTACAAGGACAGACGGGATGGCTGCTCCTCAGAGCTGGGTATCTCGCATATGTGCAGTCCCCCAGAAGGTCCCAGACTCCCTGCTGTTGGCCAGTACTGATGGTCAGCCACAGCCCATGTCCCTGGGCAGGCCTGGGTCCTCAGTGGAGGCCACTAACCCACTTGTGATGCAGTTACTACAGGGCAGCTTGCCCCTAGAGAAGGTTCTTCCTCCAACCCACGGGGGCAGCAAGCCCGAATCCCCACGGCTCCCACTTACAGAACAACAGAGCCACGGTGGCTCCCTGGGGATGGGATCTTTGCAAGATTCTGCAGAAAATAGTTGTACGGTTAACAAGAGCAGCCTCAGTTCCTTAAGAGCTTCGAAGGAGCCTCTTCCCCCTGAGAGCCTTGAAGCAAGCACTGGCCTTGCCAGGCTGGAGGCCATCCAGGCTCCTGGGATGCCCCAAAAGATTTCTAAGACAGTCCCAAAATTAGACTCCCTATATCCAGTGACAAATCCAGCGGCTGTCTCTGGGAAAGTAGAAGAAGTGGATTCCAAAGAGCAGTTCTCCCCCTTCAGTTTGGAGGATCCGAAGGAAGCCCGTGGCCTGTCTCAGTGCAGTAATTCAAATGCCCTGGGTAGAAGTCCAGGCAATCTCACTACCTCGAGAGCCCCTTGTTTCTCATCTCCAAATGTGATCTCCTTGGGTCCCGATGTGACAGACCAGGCCCAGGGTAATCAGAACAGTGCTGGAGGCCAAGGGAAGAAGCTCTTTGGCTCTAGGAACGTGGCTCCTGCCCTTCAGTGCCCCAGGCCTGGGGAAACACAGCCACTTCCCACTGATGCCCCGCCCAGTTTTCCTAGTAGGAAGTTGCCATCAAGCAAAAACTCTGTGTCTGGTGGAGTGAAGACTGCCAGGGAAGACTGGTCTCCAGAGCCACCGCCTGCCTCTGTTGGCGGCGTCAGGAGCGAGAAGACCTGTGGGGGGTCTCCTCTCAAGGCAAATACAGAGAACAGAAATGCCGCTGGGCTTAGTCAACGGGAACGGGAGCTGGTGGATCACTTGCAAGGGATGCCCTTTGTCCTTGACCTGCCCTTCTGGAAATTACCCCGAGAGCCTGGGAAAGGGCTCAGTCAGCCCCTGGAGCCTTCTTCCATCCCCTCCCAACTCAACATCAAACAGGCATTTTATGGGAAGCTTTCCAAGCTCCAACTGAGTTCCACCAGCTTTAATTACTCCTCCAGCTCCCCCGCCTTTCCCAAAGGCCTTGCTGGAAGTGTGGTGCAGCTGAGCCACAAAGCAAACTTTGGTGCGAGCCATAGTGCATCACTTTCCTTGCAAATGTTCACCGACAGCAGCACGGTGGAAAGCATCTCGCTCCAGTGTGCGTGCAGCCTGAAAGCCATGATCATGTGCCAGGGCTGTGGTGCATTCTGTCATGATGACTGTATTGGACCCTCAAAGCTCTGTGTATTGTGCCTTGTGGTGAGATAATAAATTATGGCCATGGGAAAAGTTGTATATTTAGTGTGTGTATTTTGATAATGATCTTATATCTGTATACAGAATATCATTGATATAACAGACTCTGTCTTTCTGGGCAAGGGTACTCTTGCCTCTCCCTAAAATTTATAGTGCTAAAGCCTCTCTGTCCCTTAACCAACCCTTCTGATCTTGCTGGAAGGGTTTCCTGTAGGGCAGCTCGCTGGGCTGCCCAAAACTGGCCAGCCAGCCAGCCAGAGCACTCTCGCAGACAGTCAGAGCCTGGTGTGGCGTGGGAAGCCTGCCTGACATCCAGAGGGACTTGAAACTGAAGAAAGAAGGTAGTGTTCTCCACCAAGGGAACCAGCTACCTGAACTGAGTAGAAATGTCTGTCTTCCACTGCCCGCGCTTCCTGCCATCATTCTTGTGCTACTATGAATTGTTGATGTCTGGGGAAGAAGCCAGCACAGGGTTATGGTAACTACCATCAGTGCCCACCAGAGGGCTCAAGCACCTGCTGACCTCGGGGTCACAGATGAGTCATTTGACAGTTGATGGAGCCAGCTTGACCTTTGGTTCTGTTGCTGAAGCCAATTTGGGACTTTCCTGTCTCAGTAAATCCACTGGCTCATGGGAGCTTTTGGAACCCTGAATAGACTTGCGTGGACAATGGGGTTGGACATAGGATTGTCTTTCCTCTTAAAATGTCATCTGCAGACCTTGTAAGTCAGATGTCCAGATGTTTGGCAGGTGAATTCCTCTGCTTAACACCCTCCCCATCACTTTGGACTCTGTGGGAGTGGGCATTTCCACGCACCTGTGTATGTGAAAGTCATTTTACATTTCAAAGCAGTGTGTGTTTCTTATTTTTATATTTTTAACACTTTATCCTTGGATGTATAAAGTGAACTTTTTGGCTTCTGTAAGTATGCTCTATGCACCTCTAATGTTTATCATGTATTTATATGTTGTACACAGTACTGGCCGATTCTGTAAATGGATGTATTGTACAGAGAACATGAACGTCTCCCTTACTTTCCGTCTTTGGCATCATTGCATTAAAGTGGTGTAATTGACTTCTCTCACCTGTGTCAGAGCCACTGCATGCTGTGCTGCCTGACGTGAGGGTGGAGTGATTGACTTGTGATCTGCCAGGTTGGCCCGGTGCCCTGTCACGGGTCACCCAGTGGACCTGCCACAGCCTGCAGAGCCATGGTCAGCCCACCTGCACGCTACTGAGCAAATGTGTCTTGCTCCTCACATTTCTTCTCCAACCTTCAACTGGCTGCTGGCTGCCGTAAGTGACAAATCACCATCACCAGTGTTAAATTCTTCTGGATTCAGGGGTGAGTGTCCTGGGTGGACCCCAGGCAGGCCTTCTAGACCTGGCTCCAGGGTCACCGCCTATCAGCAATACCAGGGACCATACTCTCCTGGGGCCACTGGGCTCCTTTTGATGTACCTTTGAAAGCAGGTTGGGGAAGAAACAGTCATACCTGTTGCCTGCCTCTCCCAAAACGTTTCCGGCAAATAGTTGTCTCCCTTCACCCTGCTTCCTGCCTTATTTCTTATACCCTGACTTTTTGAGTCCTCCTCGTTTAACTTAGGTCTCCCTGTGTGAGTGCTTCTGTATGAAGTATATGTTCAGTGTGGCTTCAAGCCTGATGTCATCCAAAAGCCCCGTCCCCTCCACCGTTTCATTCACCCTTTGTGGCATTTTTGTCATCTTGAAGCCTGAGTGAGAAGTTGGCAATATATGATGATTTAAATGCAGTATTGGCGAAGTCCAAGTTGTCAACTTCAAGAGTCTTTTTACCAAAGACAGGAAGCAGGGGCCCGGGTGTGATCCCCTTCTGCTCTGACCTTCAGGGCCACCTAGGGTGTAGTTTGAAACTGGCCTGGTCCATGGGACTGCCTGGGGAAAGCACTGCTCTTGTGTGTCTTTTGTGGTATTGGAAAAATAAACCTGTACAACCTGCTCATGTGCTCTCAGTCCTCTTCTGTGGCTGCCCCGTGGGATGGGGAAGGTCGGTCAGCTTGGAGTGCAGACACTGCATTGAAGGAGCAAGCACCAGCGCAGGTCCCCTCAACTCTGGAGCTGACTGTGTGTGGGGCTCGTCTTTTGTGAGGTTGGTTCTAAAGGCGTGGCTTGTTGATACTGCTGGTCTTTAGATTCTGCACATGACTTGGTGAATTCTCTGTGCGTGAACTGGAAGCAGAAATCTAGTGAAAGTGATAAGGGTGTTCATCCTGTCTTGGTGACCAAGGCTGAAAAGAGACTCCTAATGGCTGATGATCTGTGGGGACAGTGGCCAATTCTGACCTTCAGAAACCATGAACATGCATGCCTGTGTAACAGCAGGTGGGGAGAGGGAAGTGGCAGGCCAAGATGGTCTGAGGCTAGGTAAGTCTGAGTGGACACCAGACTGTGGGACTTAAGAGCCCTCAGACTTACCTGGCATTCTTAGATACATTATTTTGTGCTTATCAGAAACAATCTTAGTATATAAATAAGCCAAAAGAAAAAGTGATGGAAGTGAGGTGCAATACGTATCTATTCATGTTTGTTTCTTTGGAATTGGAGAGAATAGACTGCACATGTGGTGCAGTTCAAGCTGCAGCTGTGTGGTGCTGCTGTTGGGTGAAGTGCAGTTCGAGAAGTTATGGCAAGGCATCCGCGGTGACTGGGCAGCTGCCTGGTGGTGTTGTGTACTTGTGCCTCCATGTCATGGAACCTGCCCACGTAACGCCTGCAAGCTTGGAGTGCTTGAGAATCCAGGGTTGGGACCTGATATTGCCAATTGCCTCTTATCAGGTTGGCAGAACAGTGCAGTAAATTAGAGCATGGGTTCTGCTTCCTACCAGCTCTTTGGCCAGGGCACGTTGCTCAGCCTCTAGACCTACTTGCCCATCTCTGAACAGGGATTGGATTAACTACTTGATAAAAGTTATTAGTGCCTAGCACATAGCAAGTACTCCCGACTGTTAGATTGCACCAGGCTAGGACAAGAGCTGTGTGAACTTGCAGTAGAAATCTGTACAGCTCCTGCCACCTGCTTGACCTTCTCCCCAGAGGGGAGCTATGGAGTTGGGGGCCTCACGTGCCTCATGGTGCAGCCTCTAAGTGGACGTCTGGCTTTTGACCTCACACTACAGTTGTTGAATACACAGTCTTGAATTTAGAGACTGAGTGGCAGGGGAGACTTACTTTACTCAAGGTCCAAAAGATGAGAAAACCCAGTGTTTCAGAATATGGAAAGAATGTTCTCTTACTGGCCTGGCAATGTAAAACATCTCAGATGCTGCTTGAGACGAGGACGTGGGCATGTGTGTGTTTCAGTAGTGTAACCAGCGTACATTGGGCTTTGGGGACCCAAAGCATCTGCAGGCCCTGCACCCTGAGAGTTGGTGACACAAGCTGTGTATTGCCCTTGTGTTGTGGGCACTGCTTAGAGTGATAGGGAGGGTGGGCTTTGTGACCTTAGAGATTAATACTTGAAACCAAATGTTGACAGTGCCCCCTGCTTCCTCTTGTCTCTGTGCATCGGTTTGAAAGCCTGGAATGAACATCTCTAACTACCAAGAAATGTTGATGAAAGCTATGGAAGGCAAGTAAGAGTAACAAAAAGGCGGCTGTCAGTGCAGTGGCTCTTAACCTTGCTGGGTGCAGGCTCCTTTGAGAGCCCGATAGAAGCTCTGGAGCCTCCCCCACAGGAGTGCACAGGCCCACAAAGTGGTGTGTGCTGTTCACAAGGGTTCACGAGCTCTCTAGGCAGCTGGGACCCCTCATTTAAGAGCCCCCCTGACTCATAATAAGCCAAATAAAATCTGTGTTTATACAAAAGATCAAGGAGAGATTACTTTGCAAAGGATTCTTAGGTTTCCTGTAACTGTAAGCTTCCCTAGTGTATTTTAAATTATTTTAAAAAATGCAGTTATATCATGTTCTCCCCTTTCCCTTCTTCATGAAGGTGAGGCTCGCCTGCTCTGTCACTGAGCAATTGTAGTTCAGTCCTATGGGGCATTCCTCCTTGAGGTGGTCCGGCACCCTGTGAACAGCTGTGGCTAGACCCCCATCTTAAATAGCCAGACTGGATCAAGCAGCGCTTCTCTGTCCTCAGCCATTCCTTCTCAGCCCCTGGTGCTGCCTAGGAGCTGTGCGCTTCACCTGGAGGTAAGTGCCCCACGTTGGGTCTGGGTCCTGGGTGTGTTGTCCCGGGTTGTGGGGGTTTAAATGGTCCCTTGGTGGTACTCAGCCATGGGGGTTTGGGTAAGACAGGCATTTTCATGATATTACTGAGGATTTGCTGCCTGTGATCTCTGTGTGCACGTGAAAGGGTGCAATACCAAGGTGACACCTGCTTTGGCTGTCTGCTACTCCTTACAAATCTGAGCCCCAGCGTATGCTCCCTGGGTGTGGTGGCTTCAAACAGCCAGCCCCTCTCCCTTAATCTATTTAGCTATTGCATGGAGTTTCAATTTTAAAAAGAATTCTTCTGGCATTACAAAAAAAATACATGTTTTACAAACAACTGCCATATAGTGTGTTACACACACACACACAATTTTAACAGTAAAACTTAAATTTTAACTCACAAGAGTCAGGGTTATTTTTAAACTGGATGATAGTTAGGTTTGTCCCTGGCCATATCTCTGCAAGTTTTCCTTAAAATTTAACCTGAGTGACACATGAAGAAGGAAAAAGTCTGTGAACAAGTAAACATCTTTGGGAAAAGCAGCCCTTTTGTGTCCTTCAAGAGTTTGGGGTCAAATGCAATGCCAGGGACTGAAGGTTCAGGATTGGGGCTGGTGTTGCCTCAGTTACCCAGGCCAGCACTTGGGGACTGTTCCATGAGTGTGGTTTCAGTGAGCCGAAGAGCTGTGCTCGGGGGCAAAGGGCAGGGTGCGCAGTTTGCAGGGCACGACTGTGTTAGGACCTTGCTTGGTCACTGGCTGAATTGAGGCAAGGTGTGCACTAAGGGGGCAAGAGTGGCCCCTGGGGAGGGGACTGGGATTTCAGTGGTGCACACCTGATGAGTAAAGATTCGTTTATTTTCCCTTCTAATAGACTAGGTGCTGAAAGAAATGACAAGGTAATTGTCAAAATTTACTGAGGACCTTGTGTGTGCTGAGTGACTAGAAAAACGCGCAGTCTACTAGTAGACTGAGTGCCGATGTAGACGTGAAGGGAAGAGGCATTGCTGCTGTTGAGGGGACACAGTGGAAATAAAGCATTCGGTTCGTTATTCAGTGTTTATTAAGTAGATTCAGTCTTATATATGATATACAGATTCAAAAGAAAAGGATTCCACATACTTATGAAATCAGTGCATTTAGCAAGTAATACCATGGAGATAACAGCTCGATTAACAGCTCATTGGTCTTTTGTTAAGTGAGGGGAGAGGGAGTTGGCCTGTGCTAGTCATTCCACAAACGAAACAGAATTTAGTTGCATCACATAGAGAAGACACATTCTAAGAATTAAAATATTAAGCCACATTTACTGGAAAAAACTCACTATTATAGAACACAAATAATTTTTATAGAGCATTGAGGAGGAAGTCCTCACCTGCTTAGAAGAGCCACGTTAAGTTGCATAGGTGCGTATCTGTAAAAATATAATTTAGAGGTGAAGTCATTGATTAATAGTCACCTTTAAAAGTTGGTGCCATCTGCTGTTTGCCTTAATTAAGTGCCATACACTTACTGTCTAGAGTCCCCGGCCCCTCCCCAGAGGTGATGCTGCAGGAGTAAGCTGCCTCCAGGGGAACCCTGAAAAGATGCTTGGACTGTCTGCACAGGCAAGTCTTAAAATCTCTGGTCAGATGGGGAACTTGAGCTCTTCCGAAACTTGTCTAAATTAGGCCAGAGGATTGACAACCTCTGGAGTTGTCCTAAATCTTGGGTGGTTTGACCCTGAAGGTCATGAGTCATCTTGACCTTCCCATGCCAGGAGAAGATCTGTATCCATCACACTCTGCAGCCAACTGCTGCTTCCACTTTTCGTAAGTCCATGCAGTTAACCCACCAGCAGCCGACAGAAGTCTCTGTTCGGACCCCTGCTTCTAAATGGACCCCATGATAGTGGCATGGGCCGTCTATATGCCCACAGCAAAAACCTGCCATGCAGAGATTTTTCTGAGCTTAGAAAAGTGTTTTCAGAAAATCTTGAGTTCTACGTGGTGTAACTTTTTGTTTTTAGGTGGAAACAGGTAAAAAGTGAGAGGTTTTGTTTTGTGGCTTTGCTAAGCAGGTGAGCTTAGTGAGGTGCGCCTCCCTCCTGGAGAGCGAGTCTTGCGGAACACACGGGGCTGGGCGTCTGTACATGTAAACAGTACACTTTCACTGAGTCCAAAATTAGGAGCAAAAATACAAAGGTTCACATTGGTCTTAGGTAGATACAGGCGAAAAGGGGTTGAGCTGTTGAGCTCAGAAACAACCAAAACAAAGTTTCTAAAGCACCACTAAATTATATAAAAATCAGACCATGGACGGATTGAAACTGGTATTCTGGTGAAATACTTTACTATCTTGTAAAAAGTTTTACAAAAAATTACAAATTAAAAGTATCAACCCTCTGAGTTCAAAGCAGCATTTTGAAAATGAACTGGTAGTTAATCCTATAACCACCCCTGGAGTCTTAAGTGGCCCTTGGGAATAGGGATGGTGGGTTCCACCTGTTTGAAATCCTCTAAAACCCTCCTATCTTCCTGCCTGCCCTCCTCCCCCTCAACACTGTCCTTGGGTCTAAACTGTCTGTGTTAGTGGTTACGGTGAAGTGAATCTCATATGGTCACGGTATTACTGGTCGTCCAGATGGTCCACCACTAAGATCAAGCCTGTTTCTCCTCTGATCCTAGCCTTCTCGTAGGATTAAGTCCCCTGTAAAGATTCTGGAATTGGTATATTCTACTCTTGCATTCCCTTTTTAATTTAGGATCCCAAATGATTAATTTGTGCCCTGAGGCCCTCAGAATAGTGGCTATGGGGCAGGGCCTCGGAGGCGCCCTTTGGGAGCAGGCAGTCCCCGGGCTGAAGTGGGCAGCAGCCAGTTGGGCTGTTAGGTGCTCTCAAAGTCAAGAGTGGGAAGGGGTTGAAGCTGCATCTTTTTTTTACAACAAAAGCAAAACAGTAAGTTCCCTGACGACTGAACTAGCTAATGGAATCCTGTTTCCACATAATAACTTGCTCCTGATTCTGCCTTCACCAGGGCCTCAGGTGTAGCTTCACTGGGAAGGAGCCCACTCAAGCAGTGGGGTCAATGTGGTGGAATCCACTGTCTTGGGGGGCTGCGAGGAGCCCCGCAGACTCTCCCAACTGGCATTTGTTTCTTTTCTCTGTAAAACACACTGAACCTAGCTCTTACCGCAATACTAAGGCAGGCTGAAGGTGGCCGGTTAGGACGGCTTGAACTCATGAAAACAGAACTTCAGACTGCAGTTCATGCTGATCTTTAGCTCTAATCCCTTGTGTCGGGGGGCGGCGGGAGCCCTTCCCCAGTCTTTCTCACTCCTGTCTGTCAAGAAAAGCAAACCGTTTATGCCTGTTTTGGGTACTGCCTCTGGGAGGAGAAATGACATGTTAAGCAATTGGTATCAGGAATTCTAAGGCGGCGATTGTCTCTGCCAGTTTTTAACATTAAGATTTTCACAAATTGCCTGGGGTAACATTTTGCAAAAGATCTACTGATTACTTCGTAGTATTGTTCACACACAAAAATAAATATTTACACAAATTTAAAGGTCTGGGAGCAGTACTGAGCAGGTGGGGCTGGGTGCATGGCCTGCTGGGCTGCAGAGAGGCCTGGGGCACTGGGGTTTGTGCTGTGCTAAGGGGGTCTCAGGTGGCCTGGCCCTAACCAGACACCTGGGGACTGGTCCGATGGAAGGCAAAGGTGGTGTGGCTGGGTGGGATGTTGGAGGCCACTTGAGGGATAAAAGACCACCCCAAACTAGAGGCTGGAAGTGAGCACGGGGTAGGGTCCCTTACCTTTCTGAATTTCTGGCTCAGAGCCCACGGCTCAGTCATGGATCTGAGGCAGGGTGGGGCATCCACATGGACCCTCTCCCTTCCCCCTGAGGGTGGTCTGCCCAAGTGCCTGGAGGGCAGCTGACTGTTGAAAAGCTGGTTTGGGAAGGGGTGCCTGCTCTGGGGTTGAGTGGCACTCTGGCTGTCCTAGGATCCACTCGGTCCTGGCTCCCCTGGGGCCTCTTTGCTCTGAGGGAGGGAAGGCAACAGAGGGCTTCTGCCACTGGGCAGGGGCGGGCAGCAGAGAGCTGCTGTCATGGCTACGGAGTGTTGCATGGAGAGGCCCTGTGGGCCTTCTGAGGTCTGGGCGAATCCCTGGTTTTAGCAGCACTGGTAGGTATTGCACTGAGCAAGAGGAAGTGCCTAGGGGAGGAAGGAAACCAGGCCAGCATTTTCTTTTTGCCCTTTTTCACACTCCAGGGATTATGGGTTTCTTCTAGGACTGGCCCCTCCAGAAGGGGTTAGTCCTAGGAGAACCCAAGTGGCTTCTCCACTTCTGTTCGTGGTCCCTTGACTCCAACCATGGGGGCAGGGGATGGGAGCTGTGGTCTGCCCAGGAGCTCGCAGCTGCCTTTCCTGTTCGGTGGCTGCCTGACAGCCAGAGACTCGCCCTGAAGAAACAGGCCCTTCCTGACAAGTGTCTGAGGGCCCTGGGCCTGTGCGGAGAAGTGCTCCGACCTGGCTTCCTGGGCGCACGGTGAGGGCGAGGGCCCTGCAGACTGGCTGGCCACCTCCCAGCCTTCTATCCTGTGGGGCAGCCAGGGGTGGCCGGGGCCAGGGGACTGCAAGCTGCTACTGAGGAGGGCCAGGGCCCTCTGGGCTCCAGTTCCTGGCCATCCATCTGGACTTAGCTCCCAGGCAAACACACTAGGGGAGGGGCAGGGGAGGGTGGGCAGTTGGGAGACGGCCATTCAGAACAGGCTCAGGACACATCCTGGAAAAAGCCCACGCTGGAGTGTGAGGTAGAATCAGGTGACCGTGTGACTGGGGCTTTTGTGGAATGGGGGGTGGGGTAGCCATTTCTGTTTATATCTTTGCTTTGTAGTGGGTGTGGTGAGGCCCTCCTGCTTGGCGGTGCTGGGCACTCAAGAGGGACAGCCAGCCTGGCACCCACCCCACCACATGCTGCCCTGCCAGCCCCCAGCCGCACCAGTGTAGTGATATGGAATGTTAGGTCACAGGGATATATCCTTCTGATCAGACAGACACAGACTGGCAATCTGTACAAACACAAAAAGAATCCGTTTTCAGAAAAATAAATTACTAAAGGGATAGGAAGAAAGGGTCCACTTTGTTTTTCTCAATAAATATGCAATTCTGCTCACCTAAGACTTGAAAGGTAATTATCTGGGGGTAGGATTCTAACATCAGGGTCCACGAAGATGATTCTAAATGGAGCCTTGGCCCCAGCGCCTCGTCAGGGGAGCCCCAGCCCTTCCAAAGCTGCCCCATTGGCCTCTTCCAAGCAGGTCAGAGCACCCGGGTGGGGAGATTCCAAAAACGTGTCTTTGTGCCCAGAGTCTCAGGTGCTTGGAGTGTGGCTACAAACAGCTCTTTTGGATCCCACCTCTTTCAAAAAACAAAATGTACCAACTGGTGAGGCAGGAAGCTGGGTCCAGGCTGGGACAGCCTCCTTCCCCAGGGTAGTGCACGCCAGGTGCTGCTGGGGTCAGTTTTGCTGTAAAATGAGGTTTTCCAGTTCATCTGCAGAGCGCAGCAGGAAGGCGGCTGACTCTCGGTAGCCAGCGATGAGCTGCCGCACAGCGCTGATCTCCGTGGGGCTGAGCTGGGCGGTGGGCATCGTCCTGCTGGTGCTGTTGCTGGAGGGGGTGGGCGTGGGCGTGGTAGATGTGGTGGAGGCCCCGCCTTTCATGCTGAGGTCTGTGGGCCCTGTGGAGAGGGAGAGCGGGAGTGTGAGGGGTGCAGGCCCCCGGCACGCATCTGGGACGTGGCATCCTCCTTCACGCTGTGCTGGGGGCCTGCTGTGCATCAGGCACTTGGGCTGGTACCAGCAGACAAGACATGGGGTTATCTGTTAACCCTCAGGGTGATCCTGCAAGGAAGGGGACCTTATCATCACCGGGTGACAGGTGGAAGAAGCTGAGGCCTGGAGGTTGAGAGGTTTACCAAGAGTATATGATGAAACTTGTGCCTGTGGCTCTACACTCAGGGTAGAGAGGCCTGTGACAAGGACACAGGCTTTGGTGTCAGGCAGAGTGGAGCTTTGATCCTAGCTCCCTGGCCCCTCAGACATCTGTTCTTTCTGAGAACCCAGTAGATGGTGCTCCCCTCATAGGCACACAGCCAGCTCTGGTACCCAGGTGAGAAGGCGGCCTCCCAGCAAAGGAATGTCCCTGACTTTCCTCAGTGTGCTAAGCAGAGCTTCAAACGGGAAGTGACACCTGAGAGGAAGTGTGGGGTCGGCATGTCTGTGTGGGCCATACAGGTGATTGTGGCTGTTCCTCCCCGACGGGGCACATTGTCAGTGCAGATGGTGGTCAAGATGTTGTGGGCGGGCAGGGTCCAACAGGCGAGAGAGGGACGACAGTGTGGAAAGCCCTGGAGCCCAGAGAGGAGCCACAGCTGACCAGGAAAAGAAACACCCACGTCTGTGCTCAAGACAAGGAGGAGACTTCTGTTCAGCAGCCCTGCTTGGCTGTGGGAAAGAGGCAGGGGCCAAGGCAGATGGGGACCGCACCTGTAGGCGGGGCTGGGTGTGCAGGAAAGAAAGTGCTGGGGGTGCTAACTCTTCCTGACGAGCTGCTGCTCCCCGAATGCCCTTTTCTTTGAGGAGGTCGTCTGTGCCCAAGGGGAAGGTTAACATTGCTGAGACAGGAGAGAGAGTGGTCAGAATGGTCAGGACAGGACCCAAAGGTGCTATCTGAAGAAACCACCCCCCACCACCATTGGCCCCTGGGTGGTGGCAACAGAGAGGGAGTCTGAAGTCTTCTGAAACCTGCTAGGGGGATGTGTGAGGGGGACCACTAAGCCCTGTCTCCTCTCCTCCTTTCTCAGGAGGCTCTTTCGGCTTTGCAGTCCAGTGAGCCTGGACTCAAGACCAACCCTGCCACTCCACAGGCAATTCTTTAACCTCCCTGAGCTCAGGCCCCCATCTGCAACAGGAGGGGGCCATGGTGGGGCTGAGCCATGCCTGTGAAACCCTCAGCACGGCCAGGGGCTGCCAGCTTGAGGGCTTTTCAGCCCTCGGGGGCCCACTGGGAATGGGCCTCAGGACAGGTTTCACACTTTCCCAACGGTTGCCCAGGAGACAAGGAAGCTCCTGGAATTGGAAAAGCATTCTTGCAAGGCATTCAGCAAATTAAAAAAAAACAGTCAAAAGAGAGGATTTGGGTGTGTGGGACCTGGCGCTTCCCCAGGAAGGCCCTTTCTGACCCAGCTAGATCAGTCCCCATTCCCTGCCCTCCCGGGCATGCGTTTGATCTTCCGTGGGGGGGTGGGTGAGGCTGTGCTCAGTTACAAGCCATCTCCCCACTACCCCACAGGTTCTGACAGCCAGTTTCACTCATTACTGTAGTTTTTATGCTGCTATACAGATGGACAAGCTCTTGTTATTGGAGACATTTGGACAGGAAGTCTTGGGAGAAATTATGGAAACTCAACTGCTGCTAAGAGGAAGTTGATGCAGCCCCCAAATGGGGAAGGAAGCTGGAGTCTAAGATGGGACTCTGTCACGTGGGGTTATTTCCTCTCTAACCAGAGAATGTGGATGTCAGGGAGGAGGTCCCTGGAACTGGCTTGCTAAGGAATGTCGGGAACAGTTAAGTCTGTTAAAAGAACCACCGTAGGAAGCAGTGGGGCTGGGACTTGCTGGAAACAGCAGCCGAACAGGCTGTTGACTCCACACTGGTGGCCGAAGGGCTACTGGGACAGGCTTGGAACAGGGGTACCACTGCTGGCTCCTGGATGGAGTTCCCTCCAAGGCAGCAACCAGTCCCCTCCAGACAATGCTTGGGGACAGCAGAGGAAGGCTGGAGCTGCCTCCGACAGTTGGTGTGAGCTGGCCCTGGGGTTCCTCTCTTTCCTCCCTCCATGCTCAAGTCTTGTCCTTCACCTCTGTGCTCAGAGCCGTCCCTCCTGGGCTGTAGCTATAAGCCCAGAAAAGAGAATGTCCCTGTCTCCTACAGCCAATCTGAGCTGGAGCCACCTTCCCACGGGTTCTGGTTACGGGCAGACACTCAGGTGGCCAGTGGTTGCTGGAGGTGCCAGAGCGGGCGTGAGCTGCCCAGCACCCCAGGCAAGACAGGCAGAGCCCTACTCTACCTAAGCTATCTGCATCCAGAGGACACCTTGATGAGCAATGGGAGGAGCTCTGAGCTGCTACTGCGGCTGCCCAACCAAGGTGCCAAACTGACTGAATGATCATTTAAAGGGCTGCTGCAGGGGAGGGCCTGGGACCCCTGCAGCCACACGGCTGGCTGCTCATAATTTTCCTCCGAAAGTTAACTCAAACCCAGTGCGCACAGGACACATGCTGCCTGCGGTGAGAAGGTCAGTGGGCAGATCTCTGTCTCAGCGACCGACCTTACTGTCCCCCTCAGCGGAGCCAGGACGCTCACAGACAGGAGACTCAGGCCCCGGGGAGCAAAGGGGCAGAGCCAACTGCCTTCCTCAGAGGCCCACCTGGCTGCCGGCTCTGCCCAACAGAGACGATCCCGCCTCTGGCCAGTGTGCCCAGGGTGGGGAGTGACCTCTAGGGAGGCTGGAGGAGGCCCATCCCTACGGCCGGCTGCCTGGGAAGGACTGGGCCCGCATTCCCCACGCATTCTGGGTCCTGACCCCCCTGCCCCACGACCTGTCCTCACACAGTCCAACAGGCTCCCCACTCAGCAGGGCTGTCGGGGCTCTTCTTCCTGGGAAGAAAGCAGCCTGCCTGGGACAGCCATTCCACCTCTCACCAGAGCCAGACCCTCTGGCCTCAGCTTCAGGGATTAAGGCCAGGCAGCCTCCTACTTGAGGTTAAGAGGCATTAGGAAGGGATGAGAAATTAAGCCCAGGCAGGAACCTTACAGGAACACGCACATACTTTCTGGTGGGTGGGTGGGTGGAGGGCAAGGTGAGTGTGGAGGGCTTTCTGCGATGGGTAGGGACCAGCCCCTTCCTCACTGCCCAGGAACAATGAGGGGTCTCCTGCAGCCAAGGCCAGGGCCTTAAGCCAAGGCATGTTCAACCAAGACCCAGAATCAGTGTCTCTGGCCTATGAATGGCATCCTCTGACCTGCCCCTCCAGCAGCAACATGGTGTTGCCCGAGCTCTCCTCCCTGTGCCCGCTTGCCTCTCAAGGACCCCCAAGGCACACGGCTCCTGCCTCCTGCCGTCTCTGTGCAGAGCTCACCACAGGGCCAGAGTGCAGCTCACTGCCCTCCTTTGCTTAAAACCTATCACTGGCTCCCACAGCACACAATAAATGCAAGGGCCTGAGATCAGCCCACCATCCCTGTCAGCTCTTGAGGCCCCCAGGCTGTTGTCCACCTGTGAGGCCCCCTCTTCGCCTGCTGCCCCCGAGGCCCACCCCAGCCTCAGTGTGAATGGGCCTGAGGGCTCTACTCCAGTGCCCACTCAGGGCAGCCCCTGATGCCATGGGGAGGTTTGTGTATTTTCAGGGACTGTTTCTCCCTCCAGTACCGGTCTGTGTCCCATCTGCATCACAGTCACCTGGGGAGAGTTGCAAGAAGCACCATGGCTTGACCATCGCCCCAGATGACCTAGATGGGGCTCCGCGGCGCAGGGGCAAGGGCTGAGACCCCACACCAGAGCGCGGGACCCTTATCTCACAAGGAAGGTCATGAGCTGAAGCCTGGAGAGGGAGGGGACCTGCCCAGAGCCATTAGGCAGGCCAGCTGGGCCCAAGCTGAATGACACCAGGCCTAGGCCAAATCCTGGCTCTGCTACCAACTCCCGAGTGACCACCTGAGCCAGTGACCACCCCACTGAACCTTGGCAACCTGGGGTAAAACAGGTGTGGAAAGGATTCAACTCAGGTGCAGAGCAGGGCCTTGGCTGGAACCCAGTGCTCACGGTGGCCTTTGCAGGAGGGGAACCAGAAAGAGGCCCAGCAAGGCAACAAAGCACTGGAGACAGTCTCCTTGGAGGTGAGAAAGGACTGGCAGGCTTTTTGTTTAACCAGCTGAACTTTCCGCACCTTCCAATCGAAGGACTAGCTAAGACTTCAAAATGGGGAAGGACCCTGTGCCAGGAGGGCCTCTGCTTCCCCACCTGCCCCTGCCCCCTGCCCGAGGCTGCGTGCAGATGGAGCTGGGTGCTGGCCAGAGAGCCTGGGTCTCCCCCACTCACCATTACTGTGATTTCCTGTTTGGAGGGAGGCAGAGGGCTGCAGGTTGCTGCCCAAGGCTCCGTAACTGCGGTAGCTGTAGTTGAGGCCCCCGTTGACATAGACGGGGTCCTGGGAGTAGGAGGAGGCTGGCAGTGAGTAGGTGGAGTGGGTGATGGCTGCAGAATCCCTGGAGTGCTGTTTGTCCAGGGCTATGGGCTCGTCCTGCGTGGGGGAAGAGAGGTGCTAGGGAGCCACAGAGCAGCAAGCCCCGCCCACCGTCCTGGCCAGGGTAGATGGAGACTGAGGCCTCCAAGGCCTCAGTGCTGCAGCTGGGACCCACGGGGCTCTGCTCCCTCTGCCCGGTCGCCTTGCCCAGGGCCTCACCCCTCAGCCCACATCTGTGGGGCAGATTTTATCTGTTCCTGGCCCAACTGAAAACACTCTCGGGGACTCTAGGCTCCAGGGGAAGTCCGGAATCCCGAGGTTTGCAGGGCCTTTGGGACTGGGCTCCTCTGACCTTCCCACGGCATCAGGGCTCCAAGCCCCTGTCTGAGGACTGCCCTCCCTGCACTCTCACCCTGGCCACAGGGTCCACAGAGTGACTGCAGAGCCACCCCGGCCACAGCTGGCAGCGAGCAGGTACCTGGGAGGACTGGTAGATCTCCAGGCGCATCCTTTTGGCTGCTTTTCTTGTCTCGCTCTCACAGGCAGCTGCCAGGATGTTTTCTGCCATGGCTGAGGTCAGGTGGGGAGGCGTGGGTCTGGTCTGCAGACAGATGGGGATGGGACTACTGTTTACACAAAGATCCTCCCTCAAGGTAGGTGGCACAGGGAGGGGGTTTGGGCTCTGAGGCCGGTATCTGCAGAGCAGTGCAACCTTTCCCTCAGTTTCCTGCTCTGGAACGGACCACAGTGCCTGAAACCAGGAGTACCCAGAGTGTGGGTGACGTGTCTGGCCAGGGGACACCCAGGGACCCCAGGGGAGTGCCTGGAGGCCAGTGGCCGTGTTGGGGGCTCACCATCTCCATGCCGTTCTTCTTCATGCGACGGCAGGACTTGAGGTACGTGCGGATGCGCTTACGGGCGCGCTCCTGGAATTCGGGGAACTGCCGGCTGCAGGACTCAATGATGGCCTGGATCTTCTCCTTGGGCTGCTTGGAGATGGGCACCATGCGGTCCAGGTTCTCATCCACAAACAGACGCACAAACATCTGTGAGAGACACAGGTCATGGGAAGGGCCGGCCCCACCCCGGCCGGCCTGCTGCCCCCCCAAGTCCCCTGGCCCTGCTGCGCTGCGCTCACGTTGAAGGCCTTGAGGCGCTCAGGGTCCACGCCCTCGGAATCGTTCATCCTGTCATTGTCCTCGTGGTCGTCGTGGTCCTCGTCGTCGTCGTCTGCTGCGGGGGCCCGGCCCACCGTCAGGTCCTCGGGGCAGCCACTGGCCTCCGTCTTGATGGAATCATAGCTCCCTGAGCTGTAGGGTGGGGACTGAGAGAGGACAGGGGCGAGGGTCAAGCCATGGGGGGTTGGGGGCCTCTTATGGTGAGCACGCCTGGCTGCCACACTAGCGACTGCAGCGGGGCCCTAGGCAATCACCTTCCCTCCCTGCTCCCTTCCCCGGTGAGCTGGGGACTGCCATGCTGCCATGCCTTCCCTGAACAGCTGTAGGGGGGCGTCCTGGAGCTGCTGAGTGCAGGGCTTAGGGTTTATTCTAGCAGTGCCCACACCAGGAGCAGCCACATCGTGTGGGGGAAAGGCAGACAGTGAGAAGGTTCCCACCAGTACCCAGCCTCTTCTGATTGTGCTGAGATCTGTCCTGGCTTTGGTGTTTTCCTCCCTGATTCCCAGGGGGCCACAAGCCTGAGCTGACAAGCCAGCTGTCAGGGGTGCAGGGGGAGTGGTGTCGGGGAAGAGGAGCAGATGGGCTGGGAGAAAGAGGGAACCAGCCAAGGCAACAGGTGCACTAGGCCAAATGCATTCCCCAAGCTAGACAGCTGGGCTTCTCCTGTTCCTCTAGAAGTCACCATGAGCCCCATTGCGGAGTGTGAGTGCAGAAAGGGGCAGGGGAGCAGGCCCAGCCCACTAGGCAGTCACCCCATCCTACAGCAAAGAAAGGACCCAGCCCTCTCCTCCCACCCTCCAGCTCCTGCTGGCAAAGCCCCTTCCCCCAACTCTCCTTGGGATGCACATCTACACTTCCTCCTCAACCCGTTTTCACTCTGCATGGCTCAGTTCTCCCTCACCCCCAGCCCCTGCTCTGGGAAGGGTCTCTGATGACCACTGTCATTTGCCTTTTAGGAAGTTTATGCCTTTGTTGAGTCCTGACTTCACTCACTGGAACCCTAACAGTGCCCTGGGGATGCAGGTACTGCCTTCAGAGGTGGACATCCAGCAGGTGGTTGGACCCAGGAAACAACCACACCCTATGACATGGTCAAGTCGTAGCAGGGCGGCAGGGGTGTTCACAGCTCTTGCTGATGAACAAACAGATGAAGGCGGACACTGGCACCTCATCCTGCAATTGCTGCCACCACCAGGCCTCCTGTGACTACACACCAGGCCTCCCTGGACCCATCTCTTGATCTACACATGGACTTTAAAAAGGACAGGGACACCAAGGTCCCCTGCCTCCTACTGGGTTGTTTCAGACTTAGACAAAGTTAAAGGCTCTCTTGGATCCTGAGTAAGTCATATTCCCAAGCTGCTCCTTAGCCAAATCCTCTGCCAGGGTCAGAGGAGACAGAGAAACTATAAGATATGAGCTGTTGGTGGTATTCATGCTCCCATCTCACTTCCTTGGCCCACACATGTGGCCTGAGGCCAAGGTGGCAAACTCCCCCTCTCCAGCTCAGCTCATTACAGACAGCAGCTATGCCTGCTCCTTGGGCCCAGTCAAAGAAGGAAGGCTGTGTTCTACATGGCCTGAGCGCAGACATGCAGTGACAACTGAACACCCATCCATTTGCACAGAGCTATCCCATGAGATGCACCATCAGAGGCAAACACCGGCACCTACCCCACACCTTCTGTAGAAGAGAAACCGGCCCAGGGAGGGGAGGGACCCTGTGCAAGGGCACATGACTGGAGCCCATGGGTATAGGGTTCCAAGAAGACTCCTCTGGGCCCCTGGCCCTGGCAGGAGAAAATGCTCCAAGTGCTGCATTGCACCTCTGTGGGAAAATGCAGGAGAAAATGCTCATGTGCCCAGCGCTGCATTGCACCTCTGTGGGAAACCTCGGAAACCTTGCAGAAGTGTGAGGTCCCAGAAAGCCAGGAGAGTGCCAAATGGTGGGGTCCCCTGCCCACCCTTCCCCAATCCCCACTTGCCCACCAGCCTGGTCAACTGAGTTTCACACATCCACATTCCTGAGGCCTCAAAGGCCTCACCCTTTTTCTGCACCATCTGTAAAGTGGGGACAGGCATGCAGAGTAGCCATCAAATTTGAGGTCTTGGATCTCTATGCCAAATGCAGCCATTTGCTCCTGTTATTCTGTTCTGGGGCTGAGGGGAACAGGCCTCACATCACCCCACCAAGGCAGGGGCCATCCACCCTACTTCACAGATGGGGACACAGTGCAGAGGCATGAGGGCCTTGCTGGAGGTCACACACTGAGTGGTCTCCTATTCCAGAGCCTCCCCAGGAAAATGATGGTAGAGTCGTCATGGTCACCACCCCAACTTGGTGGCCCAACTCGGTCACATACTGTTTCATTTCAGCCTCACAAAACCCTGACACATACAGGAAGAAACAGGCTCACCGCTGAGGTGGGCCGGCAGCCCGCAGCCCCACACACCTCAGGGGTGGTCTTCACCCCGTACTTGACGCGGCTCCGCAGTCCATCCGAGCTGCAGCCGTCCGAGGGGTAGGAAGGTGTGCCCAGTGCTGTGCCCTGCGGGAGCTTGTCGCACAGGTTGATGGGCTGATCCTCGGCGGTGGCGGTGAAGTCCATGGGGGCCACAGTGCCGTTGCCGTTCATCTCGGGGAAGGAGGGGTCACCCTGTGTGCTGCTTGATGTGGATGGGTTCAGGGTGGAGGAGCCGTTGCCACTGCCACTCTCGGAGGAGGAATCGTCTGGAACAAGAGGCTTGGGTGTGAGGCCCCGCCGGGCAGCTAGTGTCCCCTAAGGCTGCAGGGGGAATCATGGCCACAGCCGCCACAGGGTGTGCTTGCCCATGTTGTTTTCATGAGCGCCTCTGGGCAGGGGTGAGCACCGCTGTCCTCCTTAGAGAGGCTCCAAGAGGCCAGTCGTGCTCCACCCTGAAGTGGGGGCGGCCCCGGAATGTGCAGGGTGTGGTGGTCTCCTGCACTCCTCACTGACAAATGCCACATCCAGGCTCAAGGCAGGCTCAGCTTCAAGGGCCTGGGAGTGAGTGGTCGCAGCCTCAAGTCTGACCAGCTTGCTACATGCCAGAGGTCCCTAGACACCCCAGAGTCTGCTTGGGGCCAGGCCAGTAACCCCTCTTCCTCCAGCTCACCACTGCCTTGCCCCTGCACACCCACTCTTCATCCCCCAACAGGCATCCAAATTTCTCCTTCCTCTGCCCGAGGAGGGCCAGATGCCTGCCTCCATTTGACATCCACAGGTACCACCTTCTTCCAGCAAGCAGGCTCAGCCCAATCCTGGCAGTCTATGCACAGACACAGCGCCCCACAGATGGGGCCTCTGTGCATGGCCCTGTGGACTTGGGCACCTGCGCGAGGGCTGCATAATCTGGGGTCCACATACCCTGCACCTTAATGGGCCATCCCTGCTTTCCCGAGGTGACAGCCCAACAAATCTCTGCCCAGGGCGCCCCCTGCTGCGGAGAGCGCAGCACTGCCTGGGGGATCCGGAAGGACAAACTTTAATGGGCTAGTAGATATTTTCAGATAAATTCCAGGCCCTGTGACCCCACCAAGCCCCGGCCTCCTGCTTGACCAGCTGAGACGGCATAGGCCGAAGCTACTCCCAAGCTCCCAGGGTCACTGTCAGGTGAGTACCGCGTGGTTGGCTGCGGCGCCCAGGTGCTGGCGGCTCTGCACTTGCACCCAGAGTGGGTGGGGGGGGGGTGCAGCCACAATGAGCCCAGACCACGACCCGGGCCGCTCCTTTCCTCAGGCCAGGGTCGCGCAGGACCCACCCCCACCCTTCGAGCTGGAAGATTATGAAGATTTAGTCCCTGGTCCTGGGCCTTGGGCACGCGCACCTCTGGAGCGTCCCCATGGCGACCGAGCGGCTCTAGTGCCCCAACCAATTGCTGGCTTCCCGGCTGCCCGGGGGCGGGGCCGGGTTGCCCATCAAGCAGCCGGGGCCCTGGGCAGAGGGGGATGGGAAAGGCCTCGGTGCAGCGGTACCCCTCCCCCTCGGCTGCGCAGGTCCCCTGGGCCAGGCTGCCCGTCCTCCTCCTCCTCCTCCTCCTCCGGGCAGCCACTGCTCCCTCCGCTCTCCAGGACAGATCCAGGCTCTGTTCAAAGCCGCCTCACAGCTCCCCCCTTGCTCAGCTACACCCTAGAATCCCCAGGCCAACGGCCCTGCTACCTCTGGAACCTCACTGCCGTCCCCTTCTCCTCTATCACGGATGGGTTGGTTTGCTCTGGACAGCACCTCTAGCAACCAACCTAGACGTTTGTGAAATGAATAAATTACCCGGCAATATTTACTGAGCACCTACTGCATGCTGCCCCATTCCACTCCTGGAAACAAAGTAGTGACTACAGCAGAGGGGGCAGCCCTCCTGGAGGACAGCTGTGCCTTACTGGAGCACAAGGAAAGTGAGCTTGGCTAAATGCCTGCCAACCTGCCCAACCACACCCATTCCTCCACTACCCCTCCTGCCTCCTCTCCAGCCTGCCCTCTCCAGCTCCCCCTGGGGCCCACCCCTGTCTCCACCCCACCCTGTTCCAGCCCCGGCCTAATCATCGCTCTGTTCCATAAGCTTTCCGTTCCCACAGCCCACTGCTGAGTAAGAGTCCAGGACCTGCCCAGTGTGTTCTCAGTCCCATGACCTCTGCACCCTCCCCCAAACCCAGGTCCCTTTACACTGGCCCCAGCGGGGCTCTACTGTCTGCCTGCCAGGTTGCTTCCAGAGCAGTAAATTTCAACCAACCTTCAAGGCCTGGCTCAGTGCTGCCTCCTTAGGGCGGCCCGCCTTCCTCTTTTGTCCTGAGGAGGAAGGTACAGCCCCGACCCCTGCTTGGTGCCCAGCCCTCCTGGGGATGCTTCATGCCTCCTTTACCTGGCACAGGATCAGTCCTGAGAGCTGCCCACCTCTCAGAGCAGGGCCTGTTGCCAAAGAAGCCCCAACACCCAAGGTTTGGGAGCCTTTGCTTGAGCCGAGGAGCTGGAAGGCAAGGATGGATACCCATACTGGCTGATCATCTGGGTTCCTAAGAACTCTGGCAGATGCCGGTTCTTCACCCACCTTGCAGGTATGATTTCACATGCTGGCACCCTCCCCAACAGGCAACTTGCTTGACCTTGGAGGGCCTCATCTTCACTCTCTGGAAGGAAGGGTTGCTAGGAGGGTCAATGGGCAACATGCCTGCCACATGGTGAGCCAAGTGTCACTGTGCCAGCACGGCCATCAGGCCCACGGCCTCCTGCAGTGCCACACCCTGCAGGGGCCTGGAGATAGCACCCCAACCACCAGTTTCCTGACCAGGTTTTATCCTGGGAAGACGGTCCCCCCTGCCTTGTGCCTCCCCAGACTGAAGCATGCAGGAGACTCAGGCACTTGCAGCCCCTCCCAGCTCAGAAGCCCTGGGCAGCAGCCCAGACTCGTGAGCTGCCAGCACCCCCCAGGACTGTGCACCTGGGCTGCCTAGCCAGGGAGCCACACGGACTGGCTCCAATGGTAGCACCTCCCCACCCCCACTACTCAGATGTCACTCAGTCTAGGAAGGGAAGTGGGTGGGCAAATGGGACCATGAGACATCAGGAGCCTGACCTTGTGTGGCCAAAAGTCTAGAAGAAACTGGAAATCTGAACCATTATGTAAATATTCAGATTTTAAAATAATGGTGACTTACATCGTTTACATTTTGAAAAACCTTGACAGATAAATTAAAAAACAAAACATGGTCTATTCATGCAATGGAATATTAGTCAGCCATAAAAAGGAATGAAGTGCTGACACATGCTACAAGAGGGATTGTGCTAAGTGTGGTAAGCCAGACATCATGACAGGACACAGTGAATGAGTCCACTTACACACAACATCTAGAATAGGTACATTCACAGAGACAAAGTATGTTAGGGGTTACCAGGGGCTTGCGGGGGAGGGTAGGGGTGGGAGTTTACTGCTTCACGGACAGAGTTTCTGTTTAGGATGATGAAAACTCTTTGGGATATAATGGTGCTGGCTGCACAACATTGTCCATGTACTTAATGCTGCTGAGCTGTACTCTTAAAAATGGCTAAAATGGCAATGTTTATGTCATAGTATTTACCATGAAAAATCCCCCCAAACAGAACCAAAGCCTTGAGCAAGCCAGTGGCCCCAGTTCACAAGCTCTGTTTGCTCCCACCCCATTCACCCCGGGGCAGAGCCTCTCCTGCCTCCACACCGCACCAGGGCAGCTCAGCCACACACACAATGCCCACATCAGGGGGACAGAAGAGTCCCAAGAGCCTGAGCCCCCAGGCTTGCTGCTCAGCCTGCAGCTAACCAACCACCTGCCCGCACAGCCTACTCAAGAGCCCCAGCTCACGGGGCTGCCTACGACTCAGGTCTGCTTTTTGCCAACTAGGGAGGCCAGACTGCCGAGGGGCTGTGGAGTGCATGGACATGGCTTGAAGATGCCACTTCACCTCCTTGAGTTTCCTTTCAAAATGGGTGTCATGCCAGTAAAACAGGGCTTTTAAGGTACACACAATACCCGGTATAGAGTAGTCACTAAAAAAAAGCTGGTTCCCTGCACCCCACACTTCCTCACTCGTAATGCACCTACTTACCACACATTTCATTCCTGGACTGGAATGTGGGCTTCTGGGGGCCCCTCAGAACCCAGCCTGGAGCCAGACCTGAGGGGGGCGGGAGGGAGATGGCAGTGCCTGGAAGACGCCTTCCTGCCCTCATCCCTTTCTTCCTTGAACACTGTGTGTCAGGCCCACATGGGGCACTGGGGTGGTCACTGTCCTAGTGAGCAAGAACTCAAACCTGAGGGTCCTAGAGGAGACAGGGTTCCGAAAGGAGTGCTGCGAGCTCTCTGGCCCTTGATTCATTGATTCATGCTCCCCCTCTTCTGGGAAGCCCTCTCTGACTGCAGAGCCCCTTCTCTGCAGGACTCTTCCAATGAGGGTGTGACTAGAGTCAGCACTGTGTGGGAGGGAGAATGGGATGGAAGGCTTTTGGGAAGAAGTAGCCCATGGAGGAAGCCGCAAAGGACAACACTTAGAAGGCCTTGGGGTGAGCACCGAAGTCCCCTTGGCCCACAGGGGCAGAGGTGCTGCTCGGGCAGCTGCACCTGTCCACTGGCACATGCCCTCACCACAGCCCCATGGACTCAGTTCGAACTCCCAAGGGGAAGCCAGGCTTCCCTCCCAAGGGCACACCAGGCCTCTGGCAGCCCCTGGCTGTCACCCCACTCGCTGTGCTCTGCCCCTTTGCATTTGCTGTTCCCTCTCCTCACAACACTGTCCCCAGCTCTCTGGTGCATTCCCTCCCATCCAGTGCTCAGCTTAAAGGTCACCTTCTCAGAAAGACCTGTCCCTGCCCAGCCCCCTGTGCCAGTCTGACATACGGACCCCTTTGCCCCGCCCCCACTTCAGCCGGTATGCTGCCCTAGCTCTTGGGCGGGCTGGGCCCAGGTTGTTCCCACCTCTCCAGACACCACACCGCTCCCTCTGGCAAGAGCACTCGGTCTTCCAAAGCAAGCACATGCCCCAGGCAGCCCGCACAGTCCATCACAGCAATCGGGGAGAAGCATCTGACCAAGCTAGACCCACGCAGGGCGGTCCTGGGGCTTTTGCTGAAATGATTGGGAAGAAGTGCTCTCTCCCAAGGGGCTGCTGAGTCCTCTCAGCAGGGAGACCCACACCTGGAAGGCAGGGCTGCCAGGCCGGTACGGACAGATCCCCCAAAATCCACCTG